CCAAGAGATGGCTTCTCTGGACTGAACCGAATGATTGCTGCTGTGGACTGGATCAAAGGATGCGCTTCTGTAGACTGGAGCAAAGTATGGCTTCTGTGGACTGGAGCAAAGGATGGCTTCTGTAGACTGGAGCAAAGGATGGCATTTGTAGACTGGAGCAAAGGATGGCTTCTGTGGACTGGACCAAAATGCACCAAAAGATGATTTTTGAGGGCTGGACAAAGGATGACTTCTCTAGACAAGACCAAATGATGGTTTATGTGGGCTTGATAAAACATTGGCTTCTGTGGATTGGACCAAACATTGGCTTCTGTGCGATGGACCAAAAAGGACCAGAGAAGGGCTTCTGTTGGCTAGACCAAAACACACCAAAGGATGGCTTCTGTGGACTGGACCAAACATTGGCTGCTGTGGATTGGACAAAACATTGGCTTCTGTGCGATGGACCAAAAAGGACCAGAGAAGGGCTTCTGTTGGCTAGACCAAAACACACCAAAGGATGGCTTCTGTAGACTGGACCAAACATTGGCTTCTGTGGGATGGACCAAAAAGAACCAGAGAAGGGCTTCTGTTGGCTAGACTAAAACACACCAAAGGATGGCTTCTGTGGACTCTTGTCCTGTTCATCTCTCTGAATACCGGTGTAATATTAATACGATCAGAACCAATGAACATATCAACCAATTGCACATAGTTACATGTTTTTATTACTCATCTCTATCCATTGAACTAACACAAACTGAATTATATAATGATCAAAATAAATCGATTATATTATGGGTAAGTGAACATACCCATCTAATTTTAAAATTGCCAACTTTGACTTCCTTCATTTATCTCCTTGGTGTCACGTTTTCCGTGGAATCACTGATTGTATATTTGTATTGTCTACTGTAACAGATTGTATTGTCTACTGTAACTGATTGTATTGTCTACTGTAACTGATTGTATTGTCTACTGTAACTGATTGTATTGTCTACTGTAACTGATTGTATTGTCTACTGTAACAGATTGTATTGTCTACTGTAACTGATTGTATTGTCTACTGTAACTGATTGTATTGTCTACTGTAACTGATTGTATTGTCTACTGTAACTGATTGTATTGTCTACTGTAACTGGTTGTATATTTGTATTGTCTACTGTAACTGATTGTATTGTCTATGTAACTGATTGTATTGTCTACTGTAACTGATTGTATTGTCTATTGTCTACTGTAACTTATTGTATTGTCTACTGTAACTGATTGTATTGTCTACTGTAACTGATTGTATTGTCTACTGTAACAGATTGTATTGTCTACTGTAACTGATTGTATTGTCTACTGTAACTGATTGTATTGTCTACTGTAACTGATTGTATTGTCTACTGTAACTGATTGTATTGTCTACTGTAACTGATTGTATTGTCTACTGTAACTGGTTGTATTGTCTACTGTAACTGATTGTATTGTCTACTGTAACTGGTTGTATATTTGTATTGTCTACTGTAACTGATTGTATTGTCTACTGTAACAGATTGTATTGTCTACTGTAACTGATTGTATTGTCTACTGTAACTGATTGTATTGTCTACTGTAACTGGTTGTATATTTGTATTGTCTACTGTAACTGATTGTATTGTCTACTGTAACTGATTGTATTGTCTACTGTAACTGGTTGTATATTTGTATTGTCTACTGTAACTGATTGTATTGTCTACTGTAACAGATTGTATTGTCTACTGTAACTGATTGTATTGTCTACTGTAACTGATTGTATTGTCTACTGTAACTGATTGTATTGTCTACTGTAACTGATTGTATTGTCTACTGTAACTGATTGTATTGTCTACTGTAACTGATTGTATTGTCTACTGTAACTGATTGTATATTTGTATTGTCTACTGTAACTGATTGTATTGTCTACTGTAACTGGTTGTATTGTCTACTGTAATTGATTGTATTGTCTACTGTAACTGATTGTATTGTCTACTGTAACTGATTGTATTGTCTACTGTAACAGATTGTATTGTCTACTGTAACTGATTGTATTGTCTACTGTAACTGATTGTATTGTCTACTGTAACTGGTTGTATATTTGTATTGTCTACTGTAACTGATTGTATTGTCTACTGTAACTGATTGTATTGTCTACTGTAACTGATTGTATTGTCTACTGTAACTGATTGTATTGTCTACTGTAACTGATTGTATTGTCTACTGTAACTGGTTGTATATTTGTATTGTCTACTGTAACTGATTGTATTGTCTACTGTAACTGGTTGTATTGTCTGCTGTAACTGATTGTATTTCTAATGTAACTGATTGTATTGTCTACTGTAACTGATTGTATTGTCTACTGTAACTGGTTGTATATTTGTATTGTCTACTGTAACTGATTGTATTGTCTACTGAAACTGATTGTATTGTCTACTGTAACTGATTGTATTGTCTACTGTAACTGGTTGTATATTTGTATTGTCTACTGTAACTGATTGTATTGTCTACTGTAACTGGTTGTATATTTGTATTGTCTACTGTAACTGATTGTATTGTCTACTGTAACTGGTTGTATTGTCTACTGTAACTGATTGTATTGTCTACTGTAACTGATTGTATTGTCTACTGAAACTGATTGTATTGTCTACTGTAACTGATTGTATTGTCTACTGTAACTGATTGTATTGTCTACTGTAACTGATTGTATTGTCTACTGTAACTGATTGTATTGTCTGCTGTAACTGATTGTATTTCTAATGTAACAGATGGTATATTTGTATTGAAAGATGCTTCTCTCTCGTGTTTCTTTTGTACTCGAAGACAAAATATCGTGTAATTTACTTGATTTATGTGAACACATAAGACAGCAATTATATCATGTCTCCTTTGTGTATGTGATATTCACATAATATTGTTCTTCTGTTTACTATCAATGCAACATAATACTCGGTATCATAGCGCAACACACAGTGATATGAAAAACAACTAACACTTTACATGCACACGTACTGCTCACAGAATCTTGGTGGGAAACTTCATTTCACGATTCTCGTAAGTCAGTGATGTAACGTCGTTTTTCATTGGTCAACAACAGATTATACCCCGTAGTCAAGCCTCCCTCTCGTTCATTTGATATTTTGATCACGCATGTTTATTTAGCTAGGCACTATGCGTTTTGTTAAATTAAATATATCAGAATAAATACAATCAACATTTTTTATGTATTGTGATAGAAAACATATCGATATGTGGAAGCATTAGACAAGTTTGGCCAGCAGCCTTCGTTACGGTGTTTCTTCGTGATATGTTCCATCATTACCCAATGTTCGAGTTAACCCAATGTTCGAGTTTACCCAATGTTCGAGTTTACCAAATGTTCGAGTTTACCCAATGTTCGATTTAACCCAATGTTCGAATTTACCCAATGTTTGAGTTTACCAAATGTTCGAGTTCACCCAATGTTCGATTTAACCCAATGTTCGAATTTACTCTGTGTTCGAGCTTACCGATTGTTCGAGTTAACCCAATGTTCGAGTTAACCCAAAGTTCGAGTTTACCCAATGTTCGAGTTAACCCAACGTTCGAGTTTACCGAATGCTCGAGTGTATCCAATGTTCGAGTTTACCCAATGTTCGAGTTTACCCAATGTTCGAGTTTACCCAATGTTCGATTTTACCCAATGTTCGAGTTTACCCAATGTTCGAGTTTACCCAATGTTCGAGTTTACCAAATGTTCGAGTTTACCCAATGTTCGATTTAACCCAATGTTCGAGTTTACCCAATGTTCGAGTTTACCAAATGTTCGAGTTTACCCAATGTTCGATTTAACCCAATGTTCGAATTTACTCTGTGTTCGAGCTTACCGATTGTTCGAGTTAACCCAAAGTTCGAGTTTACCCAATGTTCGAGTTAACCCAACGTTCGAGTTTACCGAATGCTCGAGTGTATCCAATGTTCGAGTTTACCCAATGTTCGAGTTTACCCAATGTTCGAGTTTACCCAATGTTCGAGTTTACCCAATGTTCGAGTTTACCCAATGTTCGAGTTTACCAAATGTTCGAGTTTACCCAATGTTCGATTTAACGCAATGTTCGAGTTTACCCTGTGTTCGAGCTTACCGATTGTTCGAGTTAACCCAATGTTCGAGTTAACCCAATGTTCGAGTTTACCCAATGTTCGAGTTTACCCAATGTTCGAGTTTACCGAATGCTCGAGTTTATCCAATGTTCGAGTTACCCAATGTTCGAGTTTACCCAAAGATTGTTGTATTGGGCTGATGGCATATTCTATACGAAAATATTTACTTACATCGACTTTGATTTTCCTATTTTTGTCTCCTAGTATCAAGAAAGGTACAGTGGAGTACACTTCCTATTTCTAACTTTTGAATTATTTAATGCCATTTTTTGTGTTTTTGTATGTATTTAACTATCACTTGGTAATTATTAAATAAATCACAGACGAATGAACACTAACAGCGCATGCTCGCGGATATTGACAGGACGGATATGATAATGTGATTAATATGATGACTAGCAAACATATTTTATATTCTTTAAACACCTATCTGAAACGCTATCTGTCGCCATACATACTGATCTTGTAAAAATCTTACCTTTATCGTCAACATATGTCATTCTTACATCACATTTTCTCTCAGTCCACAATCCCAAATGCAAATGCACATATGAAATCACACGCACAGAAATATACTGAATAATCAAAAAAACATGATGATCTTCCAACAATACTGATAAGTAATCACCATTGTCTGTGATTTCAATGCTTTTTACCAAACCTGTCATACACCAAACACACCAGTCACGTGACAAGTGTTGTTAAAGGTATCCGTTGTTAAAAGGAAGCAAAAAGTCTCCTATTTCGAATATTTGCTTTTGTGCAGTGTCATAAATATCTGTTTAAGTTCTGTAAACCACATCGTAATGTGGTCTTCCATTAAATCCATGTTTGGTTACAGATTTCCCATCACTGTGTCGACACTTGTCCTAAGTAGACCTTCATTACATGAGGTATCTAAGGACCTTTACCTTGCCATTAGCGAATCCCACCCACAGGTCGCCATTAGGCTGTGTCCCACAGCTCGTCGGCATATTACCGTCGCGCCAGATGCTCTTGGTTGCCCGTCCTCGTCTGTCGACCAACATAACAGACTTAGTACCAACGTCACACACTACCACATTGTTGTTTCTGTCGAAACATACAGCAGTCGGGATAAACCGGCTTCGACCTTGACCTTCTCCATCTTGAACATGATTCTGACGCTCGTCGAGAGTAAGATCGCCATGGAAACGGAATAGAATATTGCTTCTTTTGTCCATAATGAGGACGTGACGAGGTAGGGAGTCTTCAATGACTGCCATGTCTCCCGTGCGTCTGTTTACACGAACCCGGATTGGCATGGAGAAGAGTTTTCGACCAGAAGGATCCGTATGTATCGTCTGCGAGATTTCGCCATCTTTTGAATATTTCACAACCTTGCCGTCTTCCTGCGTGGCCCAAATACTACCACCCTCTGCCGACTCACACAAGCTCGTGACTGGGAATCGAGTACGGTACATCAGGTTGGTTTTGCCTGTCTGAAGGATGTTCCGAATAGTTCCATCGGAACACAAAATCACTGTCTTCGTTGAATCGGCTTTTACCATCAAGTCGAAGATATTGAGGTAGGTCTCCACTACTACTGTCTGTTTCGTATCCCCAGACTGCAACATGAGGTCAGCCTCACAACCGCCACCTTTCACCACCCATGCTTTTCCGTCCAGGGTAGGGGCAACAGTTGAGATCCGTCCTTGAGTCACATGACGAAAGGACGCGATGGCCTTCACGGCGGCTGTCTTCAATTTGCTTTTTCCAGTTACACTGCTTGAGACATCAGAAATAAGGTCATCGTCATTGGGGTCGAGAATTTCGAGGCGCCAATCCTTCACGTTCATTGAGCCAAACAAAATAAGTTGTTGGGCTGCCGGGTCCTCGTCTGCTATAAGACTTGGCGTCTGTAACACGGGGAAGGGTTTGAAGGGCCGAGCATTCTCAACACGAAGACTTCTCTCCAACAAACCCATATCTGCATTCTTATCGTTGGCTAACGCACCTTTACATTTGCTCACTATTGAGGTCATGTCAGTTAGCTGTGAAAGCAACTTCTTCTCAATAGTTTCAATTATCTCTGTATTCTTCTCACAGACGTCTCTGGACCGTTGAGTGAAATCTTTAACGATTTTGTCAATTTCAGCTTTCAACTCCGCCCCCCTGTTCTCAACAGCATGAATGTTATGCTCTAGTATTTTCTTATTGTCTTGTCTAAATTGCTGAATCTTTTCCATTCTTTCATCTATAGTTTTGATCTTCGTTTCGGAGTCTGTCAAGAGACCAGAGAGTGACACCTTTTTAACGTTCATATAATCATCTGTCTCCACGAGGCGATGACCAGTGTGGGCCGCGGCGATGCACAATAGACATACGAACTGCTCGCCGCACGTGTTGCACACGCTGACAATCTTCTTTCTCGGGTGTTGAGGACAAATTCGGATGGGATTTCCGAACGCCTTGTTCTTCTTCACCACAGATGACGCCATCCTTTCTCCTAACGGTTTTGTTCGGGACAAAGTCTCATCTGTAAAGCAAGCAATTAACATAAAGTAAATCCGGAAGAAATATAAAATGCTGTAAACGAATTTACTTAGTTTTCAAAATGAAGTAGAATTAACCTTGTCATGGGGTTGTAAACCAGTTGAAATGAGTAAAAACGAAAAAATAATTCTTGTTTTGAAATGAATCCATATATCAGTTTTTTTTCTAGAAACTGGCGTCAATTCTCCATAACTGCTAAGCATGGTATAGCAAAAGTGATTTAAGTTTCTTTAAACTGCTTAAAATACCAAGACCTTCATATCTTCGACGATAAATGAGATATTCAATGATATAGAATTATATTTGTATTATACCCACATGATGAGTATCAGGGAAAAAAGAAGGATATCACCAGTAAGACAATCTATCAGGTACATTGCTAATGACTATAGGAAATTGTTTGATCTATATCATGGGAGTATCAACAAGGGAACATTTTGTAACAGCAATGTTTGATTAGCTTGTTTACTGGAATATCAGAACTGTATCTAAACATCCAATGTTCTCGGCAGTCTTCTAGAGGTTCTTTTCTGAGATATCGACAGTGCTTGTGTTTATTTATAAAAACTGTCAGATTCTTTTCCTTGTTTAACAAGCATTTGTGTTTTATATCTGTCCAGATATATTCTCGAAATGAAAACATCAAAAATATCATCCTTCCTTTTCCTGTTAGTTATAACCCTTTTGACTCTATCTTTTAATCAGATATCGTATTATTGTGTCGGCACGATGAACCATATTGAGTAATACACTAACGAGTGAGCATAACTTAATTTACTCTTTCATCTGACTCAGTGAGATTTGTGAGCAACAACGAAAATATTGATGAATAGAAAATGTTTCAAAACAGGAATGCATTACATATATCGAAAGTGTTCCTGTTAATTTGTGAATACCTTTCTCTAGGGGGTTGTAGTTACTGATATAGGAATACAACCTTTCTCTGGGGGTTTAGTTACTGATATAGGAATACGACCCAAGAACAACAGTGTGAGGAGTTGATAGTTGGGTAATAGTGTCTATTTAAACACATAAATCACTGGAATTTGGATGTCCGACATTTAAATCAAGAGATTGTAATTAACGATTAAAGAGAATCTTCATAATCAAATTATTAATCAGACACAAGCGGCTATTTATATACCATTCGTTGTATGTAATTATTTACCTTTTTGTTGGTGTTCCCTCGTGATCTTCAAAATGAAAATATCGGAAATTTGTCGTCATTTTGTTGTTGTTCTTATGAAAATATCAAAGCGATGAAGATCCGCCATTTTTGTTCCAACGGTAGCCATTAGCCTCGTTATAGAAATTGTAGGACAATGCATACCCAACAACGACGAGACAAATAACATTTTTTCTAGAGCGGTAAATGTTATATAATTTGTTGTTTTACCTTGGTCAATAACTTAGGAAATAATGCCCGGAGTAACGGACTGTGGCGTCGTCAATTCAAGTTGATGTTAGCCGTCTGTTGGAAAGTAAAACCACACAGGAAAAAAATACTTTCCGAATTAGAACAGTAAAACAACGATAAACACCTGAAACATTCAATACGACATGACCACAGTCATTCGGAACTCACCGCGGGAGACTTTTACTTGTTTTCCTGGCAGATGAACCAAACGGAAAATTTTAAATACGACAAAACACTCAACATTTTATTTTAGAGTCGTTTCTGAATTTCTTCTCTCTGAAATGGACTAGGTTAATCGATTTTAGTCAGAACTAAAGGCACAATTTGGTATCATAATTTAAAAACTCTACCGTAATCACAAATCTGTGACGTGTTATCACTCCAGGATACTCCGAGGGTTAATTATAATTAACTGATTACTGAATACTTGACATGTAGGCTGCATTGACTAGAAGTGCGACGTGGGGACAATGTGTTTCGTCATGTGTACCCACAGGTGTCGGGTGGGTCCAACAGGACGGAAAACTGTTAAATACACAGTAGACAATCGGTATAGAGTTCCCGAGTCTACACGTGATATTCAGCAGAAGTGACAATCACTAATGGTGTAACTTAATCAGGATTAAAATACCTCCTCCCCTCCTTATCGCGAAAACATCATCCCTTCCTCGTCTACTTACATTTTGATAGGGCGTTCTAATTAAAAAATCTTTATTTGTAACTTCTATATAAAATATTTTTAATTACCTCTGGAGGAGATATGGGCTTCTTAGGGAGATAAGAGACGTCCGTGGGAAAGGGATTTTACCCCACTTGCTCTTGATGACATGCGAGAGGCCCCTCGTGTGTCGTTCAGCGACCATCAGTTACCACGTGTGGAGACCCAACCTCAAAATTACCCAGGCTATTGACAGGGCGATAGGAAGTCGACATTAAGTCATAGATATATAAGTAATAAATCTTCAGCAAAAAGTAGTTAGTGGCCTGATTTACATAGGTAACCGGTACCTGAGGATATCTTGATTACTTGGATATTGATGTGCCCTCTCTCGTTCTATTTGTTAGCATAGAATCCATATCTGTAATCTCTGACAGACTGGATTACTCTGATCTAGTATAAGACTATACGGGCTTACATACTTATTACAACAAGTCCGAATTATTCTTACGTTCTATTTGTTAGCATAGAATCCATATATAAATATATATATACAACCTCTGTCGGAGTGGATTACATTGGTCTAGTGTAAGACTATTTGGGCTAATATATTTATCATAACGACTTGTCTGAATTATTCTGACGTTCTGTTTGTTAGTGTAGAATCCATATATATATATATATATATTACATTGGTGTAGTGTAAGACTATTTGGGCTAATATATTTATCATAACGACTTGTCTGAATTATTCTGACGTTCTGTTATACAGCCTCTGTCGGAGTGGATTACATTGGTGTAGTGTAAGACTATTTGGGCTAATATATTTATCAATAACGACTTGTCTGAATTATTCTGACGTTCTGTTTGTTAGTGTAGAATCCATATATATATATATATATATATATATAGCTTCTGACAGAGTGGATTACATTGGTGTAGTGTAAGACTATTTGGGCTAATATATTTATCAATACGACTTGTCTGAATTATTCTGACGTTCTGTTTGTTAGTGTAGAATCCATATATATATATATAGCTTCTGACAGAGTGGATTACATTGGTGTAGTGTAAGACTATTTGGGCTAATATATTTATCATAACGACTTGTCTGAATTATTCTGACGTTCTGTTATACAGCCTCTGTCGGAGTGGATTACATTGGTCTAGTGTAAGACTATTTGGGCTAATATATTTATCATAACGACTTGTCTGAATTATTCTGACGTTCTGTTATACAGCCTCTGTCGGAGTGGATTACATTGGTGTAGTGTAAGACTATTTGGGCTAATATATTTATCATAACGACTTGTCTGAATTATTCTGACGTTCTGTTTGTTAGTGTAGAATCCATATATATATATATATATATAGCTTCTGACAGAGTGGATTACATTGGTGTAGTGTAAGACTATTTGGGCTAATATATTTATCATAACGACTTGTCTGAATTATTCTGACGTTCTGTTTGTTAGTGTAGAATCCATATATATATATATATATATATATATATAGCTTCTGACAGAGTGGATTACATTGGTGTAGTGTAAGACTATTTGGGCTAATATATTTATCATAACGACTTGTCTGAATTATTCTGACGTTCTGTTATACAGCCTCTGTCGGAGTGGATTACATTGGTCTAGTGTAAGACTATTTGGGCTAATATATTTATCATAACGACTTGTCTGAATTATTCTGACGTTCTATTACATGTTATCATTGCCTACAATGCTTTAAGATTATGTCTTTTTAATTTGCTGAGTTAAGTAGTATTGTATTTCAGCTGTACCGACGGACACGAATATTATCTATACAGATACACGTGATAAAGTGGCCGTATTATCTATAATTCTGTATCTATTACAGTGTACATAAAATACGAAAAAAGAACAAGATTGAGGGTGAACGTCTCTAGAAAAATATGGAAAAGCAAATAATTTTCATTAATTTAATTGGAACTAAATGTACTCCGAGAATCTATGAATGTTTTAATGTTGCTCTACTCCTCCCATCTGGGGCGGTTTTTTTATCATCGATGTATGCACCTCTGTAAAATCAAATGAAATTGAAGTGAGTTATCATTTTCATATCTGTGATGTTCTCTTCCGTTCATTTGTGTGACTTTTGGTGTGGTCAATAGTACCTCTGATTGTTGTAGACAACATAGTGTACATCTACACAGCAACAACGGTGTATCTCATCCTTGTAACGTTGTCAGTGATTGGTTGAAGTGTATCACATGATAGAACAATGTAACTGAATGGACAAGTAACCAGACACATCCCCCTTCAAAATCAATGTTTATTTTTCTTTTTCGATATAAGAAAATATGAATATCTATTAACCCTGTGGAGTTTTTCTGTGTCCTATTACTGTACCCTGTAATTAGGAACTACACATGCACATGAAATCTTGTCACCAATAACTAACTATCAGTATAGGTAAATGAATACACAAATTAATTACAAAGTGATTTTTGTAATTTTAATTAAAAGTATATTATCAACAAAACCAAATACGCCGGATGCATATATCGTATTTACATGAATATAATATTCTTTCAATAAACTGCGGCATCGATATTTCGAATTTATCCGCAAGAAATAAGTTATCAGTTATCATTCTCTTGCACACAAAGACCACAAGGCTTCGATTTTACTTGACTGATCTGAGATTAGCTGCAATAATTTTAGAACAGAATTTCCTCATTCTTACTCTTGAAGAATCTAAAACTTACTAATATAGCTAGGATTTCTAAGGTAAATGTACCGATTAAGTTATAATAAATAAACATTGGAATTTTACTTCTGACGGCATTGATTTTTAACACGAATTGCAGCATATAGCAAAAGCAAGCGGGCTTTAAACCAATTCGAGTTATCTTTCTTGGATTAGACCATCATATCCTTCACTAAAGACGATCAAAAATATGACGTTCTCTAAAAACTGGAAAAGAGGCCGGCCTCAAACATAAGCCTACCCCGAAAATAAGCATGTAGTTTCTTACATAGATAATCCTGAATTTGCTTAACATTCAAGGAAATATGGCGCGTCTTATTTTCGACTTATTAGAGTATTTGAGATGTTATCATTATCACGAGATCGTAACGTGCAGCCTTGACACTGAGAATGAATGTCAATGTTCAATGTATCTGAAGACCTTGACTTGCCCATCCAAGAAGCCTACCCACAGGTCTCCGTTTGGTTGAAGTCCCAGACTCGTGGGTGGCATCTCATCCCTCCATATGGTCCGTACAAGTCGTCCATCCCTGTCTATTACGATCACTGAACCATGACCATAATCCGCGATAAGGATGTCATTGTTCCGGTCAAAACAGATATCACGTGGTAGAAAATCTTGCTGGTCGCCATTTTTAGAATCCTGAATTCCCTGAAATCTGCACAGTTCGTCCATGTTGCTGTCCATCACAGCAACATGTCTTGGTGTGGTTTCCTCAATGACAGCCATGTCTCCGTTTTTCCGGTTCACACGTACTCTTCTTGGCCAGGAAAATAGTTTCCAGCCATCCAGATCCTCTGTAATGACCTTGATGACATCACCGTGTCCGTTATACTCCACCATTTTGCCTTTATCGTCATGACAGACAATGATGCCGCCATTTTTCCCCTCACAAAGACTGCTGGCGTAATCGTCGGTTCGAAACAGAACTTTATACTTCCCGTCTGGAAGAATGCATCTGACTGATGACTGGGCACAGCAATAAACGTTGCTTCGATCTGCTGAGCAGACGACATCGTTTAGCTTCACGCCTGGCTTGACACGCATGTGTACAGTGATGTCACCTTTTTTTGTAGTGAGTGAAGCTTCGCTGCTTCCCGTACAAATTAACCAAGCGGACGTATTATCGATAGGACAGACCGAGAGCACCTGTCTTTCGGATCGCATCTTAAAGCTGCTGAGTACCTGAACTTGGTACGCCTCGGGATCTTTTACCGCATCTGGTCCCCATTCGTCCTTTCCTGGTCCCTCCTCGTCTGGTTTCCAGATAGGAGTGTCCATATAGCCAAACTGTGTCATCATCCTTGTCATTTTGTCAGACATTACTATTCCCACTTTTTGCAAGTTTGGGAAAAGGTCATATGGTCGACTATTTTGCTGCTTCAGATTTTTCTCTGTGTGCAAAAGATTTTGATATTTTTCTTTCTCTAGCACCTCTTTACATCGGTCTGCTGCTTCGGACAAATCATCGAAATGTCGTTGCATCCGGTCTTCGACATGTCCGAGCAAATCGTCGTTTTTCTGACCGATATTACGACACTGCGTCGTGTAATCATTACAGATTTCATCAATTTTCTGTTTCATCTCTTCTGTCCTACTCTTTATATAATCTGTCAATTCGGTAACGTTTTGTTTACTTTCCTTCTTAGTGTCTCTCACTTTTTGTAGTCGCTGTTTCAGTGTTGTGAGTTTAGTGTCCGAAACTTGTTTTAATCTTGAAAAAAGATGTCGCTTGAGAACAAGGTATTCTTCTACTTCCACGAACATGTGTCCAACGTGGGACGAATGGATACACGCGAGACAGACGAAACTGTCCCGACAGGTGGTGCACACCATCACAAGCCATTTCTCCGGGTGGTTTGGACAGGGTCGTTCTTGGAACACTCCATGAGAGGGGATTGGTGCGGCAATTTGACGGAATTGTATTCCCTCCGAGGTTGGACGTCCAGCAGAGCTAGGAACTTGAGACATTCTTGTCGATCGGCACAGAATAGATGAGTCAAAACTGCATAAAAACAATATTGGAAATAAGTTTTGACAACCGTGCCTTTAATAAAAATGAAAAATCGGAATATATCCTGCAAATGATTTTATTGTTGTCTGTTGAAATAATATATACATATACATACACATACAGAAGACTGACTCAGATGTCTTGTGAAAGTAGTCGGTAAGCGTTTACAGACACGAATATCGAAAAAAAATCCGTCGTTATTTTAGAGTTATATTTCCTTGCATAAAGAGTTCTTTCCATGCATGTAATTAAATATGTTAACTGTATTTATTCGTTTCAAACCAATTCTGAAACGGCTAATTTGATTTGAAATACAAATTTTGTCGTTACAAATGAAAACTTGTTCGACCCTTTCCCATTTTCTGTCGTTGGTCCTCTAAATCCACCCTTCCCCTTTCTAACTCACACTCTATCTTAATTTAATTTCACCATTACACTGCATCACCACCTAAACTAAACTCTCAAAACCCAACCTGAAAAAACCCAACTCGAATCCTACCTAAGCCCTCATCCAAACTCTACTATAATCGAATCTCCACCGTCACAAGAAGTCAAACCTCGCCCAAAGTTCGCGCTCCTCTAAACCGAACCGTCACAATGACTCACCTCCATACCCATCCAGCGTCATAACCTGACCGTAAAACCAACTAACAAACAATCCTCACCCTAATTCTGTCTCCAGTGCAGCTTAACTTTTCCCACTCTTAACTCCCCCCAATCTCAAAACCCTCCAATCTCAATTCCCCCAATCTCAGCTCCCTCCAATATCAACTACCTCCAATATCAACCCTACCTTAATCTTAGCTCCCTCCAATATCAACTACCTCCAATATCAACCCTACCTTAATCTTAGCTCCCTCCAATATCAACTACCTCCAATATCAACCCTACCTTAATCTTAGCTCCCTCCAATATCAACTACCTCCAATATCAACCCTACCTTAATCTTAGCTCCCTCTAATCTCAACTCCCCCCCCCCAATCTCAACTCCCCCAATCTTAGCTCCCTCCAATCTCAGCTCCCTCCAATCTCAACTTCCCCAATCTCAACTTCCCAAATCTCAGCTCCCTCCAATATTAACTACCTCCAATCTCAACCCTACCTAAATCTAACCACCACCTAAACTACCTCCAGCACAGCTCAACGTCCTTATGCTACACTTTGCATCACTATACACAAAGTCCAACGTTGTGGTCTAATCACAGGAGTTTTATGAAATAAGTTTTTTTTTCAGCGATCGTTTTGGCTGCTCTCAAATACGTTTTTGTTTGTCGATAAAAATTAGCTCCTGTGGTTTAACTTCATCTAAAATCTACCCCTACCGAACAGATCCCAACTTGCCTGAACATTTCCTACCATATTCAGCCTACGTAACCCCCATGCCGCGTTCATTATGAATATTATGGCTTCTTAACCCAACTTAAAGTAACCTGCCGAATTGTTAAACGTACAAAAGATTATGCTACAGTGGACTGTAATCTTAGGTATACTACAATACAAAAGTCACACTTCTTTGTACCTATAAATCCGGCTTAAATAACATTTATTTTATACCGATTCACTTTCCCTGTGTCGTTTTTACTGAACTCTTTCTTTCCATTCCGGTTTATCAAAAAACAAAATAGTAACATGTAGCAAATCAAATGTTTAATAAAAGCGAAATAATTACAATTTTATCGATTTATGAAATAATGACAAAATTATATAATAACGGAAAGACGACGTTAACACTTCGAATCTAATACCCAAGATAAATAAAAGTATTGTGTAGAAGGTATTGAGATATCTCTCCTACTTGCCGGATATTTTATATGTTCGATACATAACAGGTACCCCTATTCATCAATTTAACGATATTTAGACAGGTCGTGTACATCTTCAGTTTATATAGATATGCATTTACAACCTCAAAGTTAAGAGATGGCTTTCTTTTCTTTCCATTTTAAAATTCTGTTCTCATTTCTTTCAGGATGTTGAAAAGATATCAATCCATTTTGTTATCTCTCTTTAATTTTAGACGTTTTCTTTCAGTATTTCTGAAAAATCCTCTCAACTTATAACTACATATATCTTTCAGCGAAAAAATTGTATTAATAATAGTTGACATCATTAAGTCTCTGTTTAATAACATGTTGAGTCTTTGGATCATATATCGATTACGAGAAGTTGATGAAACATTTTGGTTGAAGATATATTCAAGAAATCGTGAAATACAATTAAGAAAAAATGTGGGGGAGATTCGATGCATATACTATCATTCTATAAGAATCGTGTACATTTGATTTGACTCTTATCAATATCACTGTTACTTAATCAATAAAAGGATAGAAGGTATAACTTACCTTAGTCAATGTTTAAAATCTTCATCCACATTTTCTGTTGAGGTCAACACATTATGACAAAAATCTCGAACATTTAAGTATATTACTGAGCTAGAGAGGTAGGCTGTAGCCAATGTTCACAGGTATGGAGCGGTAATAATTAATCCTGATTACCATTGCATTAACAACAAAATATTTTAATCCACGTGTACGTATACAGTGACAGGTACATTTAGTGGTCGAGATCACAGGGGCTGGGTTTATTGGTACAACTTAATTGTACAACAATAACCTTTTCCTTATAATAAGCTTTACTATAGTATCAATACTAGTGCTAAGGAACAGAAGAAATTGATACACAGTTTTAAGTGAAACTCTTCAAGAAAATGGGACATTCCTATACTGATACTAAGCATCAGATTGGAAACACCTCTTTGTCCGAAAATATGACATAGATCCTTTTTAAAAATTTCTAAGAAGTGTTCACACTCAATGCCCTATTTATTTAACTAACGTTCTACCTGCTCGGCAATATAATTTACACCCTTATAACATCAGAAGAGTCACCAATTTCTGTCAAATAAGCTGTCAAACTGATCTCTGTAAATATTCTTCCCTACCCTCCTCCTCTACTGACTTCACATTCACATGAAATACAACACGTCAATTACAAACCTTTAAAATTTCCTAAATGCCGATATCACTGCAGAAGTAGACACGCTTAGATCCAACATCGCGACCAAGGATGAACTACTTTAAATAGCCACTTGTACGCACGAAACTTAGTTAACAGCCCCGAGAGTTCCTGGTGATATTAGTTAATAGTCCCGAGTGTTCCTGTTGTCAATCTACTGATATTAGTTAATAGTCCTGAGAGTTCCTGTTATATATCTGGTGATATTAGCTAATAGTCCCGAGTGTTCCTGTTGTCATTCTACTGATATTAGTTAACAGTCCCGAGAGTTCCTGTTATAAATCTGGTGATATTAGTTAATAGTCCCGAGAGTTCCTGTTATAAACCTGGTGATATTAGTTAATAGTCCCGAGTGTTCCTGTTGTCAATCTACTGATATTAGTTAATAGTCCCGAGAGTTCCTGTTATAAATCTGGTGATATTAGTTAATAGTCCCGAGTGTTCCTGTTGTCAATCTACTGATATTAGTTAATAGTCCCGAGTGTTCCTGTTGTCAATCTGGTGATATTAGGTAATAGTCCCGAGAGTTCCTGTTGTCAATCTACTGATATTAGTTAATAGTCCCGAGAGTTCCTGTTGTCAATCTACTGATATTAGTTAATAGTCCCGAGTGTTCCTGTTGTCAATCTACTGATATTAGTTAATAGTCCCGAGAGTTCCTGTTATAAATCTGGTGATATTAGTTAATAGTCCCGAGAGTTCCTGTTATAAACCTGGTGATATTAGTTAATAGTCCCGAGTGTTCCTGTTGTCAATCTACTGATATTAGGTAATAGTCCTGAGAGTTCCTGTTATAAATCTGGTGATATTAGGTAATAGTCCCGAGAGTTCCTGTTATAAACCTGGTGATATTAGTTAATAGTCCCGAGTGTTCCTGTTGTCAATCTACTGATATTAGGTAATAGTCCTGAGAGTTCCTGTTATAAATCTGGTGATATTAGTTAATAGTCCCGAGAGTTCCTGTTATAAATCTGGTGATATTAGTTAATAGTCCCGAGTGTTCCTGTTGTCAATCTACTGATATTAGTTAATAGTCCCGAGTGTTCCTGTTGTCAATCTACTGATATTAGGTAATAGTCCTGAGAGTTCCTGTTATAAATCTGGTGATATTAGGTAATAGTCCCGAGAGTTCCTGTTATAAATCTGGTGATATTAGTTAATAGTCCCGAGAGTTCCTGTTATAAATCTGGTGATATTAGTTAATAGTCCCGAGAGTTCCTGTTATAAATCTGGTGATATTAGTTAATAGTCCCGAGTGTTCCTGTTGTCAATCTACTGATATTAGTTAATAGTCCCGAGTGTTCCTGTTGTCAATCTACTGATATTAGTTAATAGTCCCGAGTGTTCCTGTGATTAATCTACTGATATTAGTTCCTGTTATAAACCTGGTGATATTAGTTAATAGTCCCGAGTGTTCCTGTGGTCAGTCTGCTGATCCTGAACATATCCTCTTCCAGTGTCCTAACTACCAGCATAATTGTGATGTCAACATCTTACTTCATGGTAGTTAAGAAATGCCAGTTCAGTACAGTGAAATTATTTTGATTGTTTTCAAAACTTTATCTGTCACTCCAAGCATGTTTTATAAGGGCAGAAGGTGACACATAATATAAAATACCTGTGTGATACAACACATATCCTGACTACTACATCGTTACGTTATTCATTATACTACACGCTACTTCATAAGAGGTAGGAAAACTTCGGAGTATAACTAATGTTTAGCTCCCGTTTGCAAATCTTGTATTTACAGTTTGCTTGTATAGTGTACCACATCATGTAGAGCCCCAGTGAACTTATCGTTATGTTATTGAACCCTCAGCATCCCCCTAGTTTAAACCCTTACACATTTCTCTGTCTCTGCACGTGTTATATATCTGGTACCAGAAATATTGTCGATACCGTCCCATTGTTGCAGTAAGAACAGGAGACGGATTTACATAAGTACTATGTATTGTTGCTGAATCATGTCATTTTCTACTATAATGTATGTATCACTGCCTGTACAGTTATAATAAAGCAATATAATTGCTGATGATAGACGTTTAATCTGTATAAAAGTGTCTTATATCATGGATATGTTTCATCTACACGAAATTTGAAACCAACATGTGATTTTGATTTCTTCACTTTCATTCTTTTTGTGTTAGATGTTGGTATGGTCATTTTCTTAAATCAAAAGTGATAATAAAGAAAGCCGTGCTTGTTGGGGAGAGAAGTTAACGCTTATGTATTGCACAATACGTCAGTTATGTATATGCATTACGTCACGTTTTGTTAAACAAAATCAAGAAAACTATACAAAATCAGTACATTATAATCTGCATGAATGACATAAACGTATAAAGTGATCGTCACAATATTTTTAATCGCACAAAAACCTTCTCAGCACAATATAGGTATCGGAGCGCTATTCTTCCTTCCTTTTTATACTTGCACGAGTTATTTCCCTTGGAACTATGGGGACTGTTGTCTAGTTCGTCATTTGCTGTTGGCCCACAATGAACCGTCATTCGAATAATTTTCTGATACGTCAGATTCCTCTCAGCGCTAGAGATTCAGTAGCACATATGTATTAGTATTTTTGTTGTCTTTCTTTTTTTCTTAAGACTTCACTAGTCACGTAATCATAAACTTTTGGTTTTATTTATTATTTTACAGAATATTCGGTGATGTAAATATTAGTTTGAACCACATATTTATAAATCTGAATTGATACTGTCGTAAAATCCTTAATTTTCGTGGGAGTTCCAAGTCCACAAATTTATATGCCCACGAAGTGATAAATAGATGAAAATGACTTGGATTATAGCACTAGAGGATTTTATTGTCAGGATTTATCCTCGAAAACGGAAATATAGATTTAAGGAAATCCACTGACATTTTAGTATACTATATTTTAGTTGGCTTAGAGGACAACGAACAGCAATCAACATAGCAATGTATGGGCAATAACGTTACATAAGTCCTATAAACTCTGGTTTGTATTCTTGATATATATAAATGTCACCAAATTTTACCCTATAGATTACGTATTTGTTAGGTCAGATAAAAAGTAGAATCCGAAACAAAGTGTTTTTAACACAACTATTGTCGGTCAGATAAGTTTTGTGATGACATCGCGCGTTATCAGGAAATTCTCTGAAAATTTTCAGTAGATTATGATAGGTCTAAATATCCTTAATGTAGTTTTCAGATTTCGGGGCCAATATTTAAGTATTCCTTGTCTCTAGATTGATAGCATATCCATTGAATAGGGTGGAAACTCAAGTATCACAATCTCCACATCATATGATGAAAGATCCTTATAATTCATCAACATACAAGATGTATTGCATTTATTGTCGCTCACCTTTTGTTCTTGTAAGTTTGAATTTGCCACACTGTTGACATGCATGTCTATTATCATAAGTCTGCCGGATGATATAATTTGACATCAAAGATGTGATCTACTGAAGGGGGATCCCCATAAAACATACGATACATTGTCGATTGCTGGTAGTCAAGCCTGTAGAATCTATCTGTGTATTACGATTTCGTTGCTGTGTATCGTCCTACACAAGCCTAGCAATAGTGTTAAAATAACGAGTGTGACATTCTAGCTTCCGGAAAATGATGTATTATGAAGGGAAAGTTTATTTGAATGCACACGAAATTTAATATTGAGATTATTCATACATAAAAATCGTACTGCTTTTTCACAGGTAGGATAATTCTAGAGTAGAGACAGTGTAATTTAGTTGTACTCTACCAAGGTCGATATTCGAGCTAAAACAGATCCAAGTTTCTGCATGCTCGTCGTTTGAATGTCTTTTTTTTGCTTTATAGAATTATAAATGTGTTTGTTTAGATTTGTACAGGTATTTGTTTGTATGCTTATTGATATCGATATATATCTGCATTCAGATAAGTATATATTTACATGTGGATAAGTGTTTGTTCGTGTCTTAGCGACCATACAGTATACACCCATGTATAACTCATTTGCCATTTCAAGTAGTTGTCATGTGGGCTGGAAATTTCGTTGTTAACCCAGCTTTCGAGGTTAAATTGAAAGTGTTAATAACAGTTAAAGTGGCGTTTGGAATGTCATGAGTACTGGGGTATGAAATAATAGTAATAGTTTGGTGTGATGACAGCTTTTAATATATCCGAGTAGTCCCATGGTTTGCGGATAACATCGGACATTGGCTACTGTAAGGGCATAACCAATAAAATTGCTGCAAATGATTTCACTTTGTAAACTCGTATTTATTCACATGTTCACACACAGTCAGAATATGACCAGTATAAATATACGTGTATTTGTCTCATTTGTGATATTGGTCTGCCCAGGGCAATACCCCCAAGTTTTCCATATTTCCTGTACAATACAGCGTGTGCATTAGTAAGACAAGTAATTCAATGGTTAACACTTATAGAAAACACTGGAAAATGTACTGGTGAATTAATGATGATTTCATCTTAAACACATATTAAATGAAAACAACAATATGCATAGTAATCTTTAAGTCATGATAACACCGAACTCATTATTTCAACATCTGTATTACATCTAAAAAGTTGATGAGATTCGACTACATGACACAAATAATGACTTAGAACACGAAGTTTACGTCTAAGTTCGTGCTTTAAATAATCATGCTTGTTATACATATGGATATCTGACGCAAAGTTTGTTAAATACGGGTATGTAAAATAGAACGGTCTTCTTAATAAATAACCCAGAGAAATGGTAAAACATGGCGCCCTCTTGAGTTCAACGGAGATGGGTTAGACATGTTTTTTTTTTGTATATTAGTTCAAAATTAAATAAAAATGAATATGTGTGTAGATATGCCACGTTCGAAGTCACAAAAATGTATGAAAACCTTCGACAGTGCCTCCACGTTTTGTGACATGCTCGGCTAGAATATCGTTATCCTACATATACATTCAGTGTTTTTTTTATGATACGTCCGTCCCCAACAATGTCAGGTGAAAAAACCTATATCTTCTGAGTTGTTATTGCTAATCCTTACTAACATGAGAATAATGGAAAACTGGACGTTCCCAGATAATCAGCTGTTGTTCCTCTGCACCACCTCGTTGTATAGTCACTCTAAATGATGGAGGGGACAGCAATGCGCTTTTTTGATTAGATAACGATTGTATGTAGTCACAGAACAATAATGCTCCTTCGCATGTTCTTCATGTGATGTATGATAATATTGATAGCTGTCACAATATCATTACGCGTATGCTGTTTTGTTAGGTCCATTACAACGTAATGTGTTTAACAAATTATACCATGTTTCGGTCTGGAATTTTACACAAAATGCTTCATATTCCGTTGCTCCCATACGAACGACGAGAGTCAGTCGTGGATTGTGTTGTTGTGCTTCGATTTGAACACCGACTTGAAGACATCGTAACCGTGATCTTTGGAGCAGACTGCGCTCGTAATGTACTGAGCGATGTAGGTCTGGTTAGTCTTTCCACAATTTTTTCTAATTGTTCCGCGTTTGCCGTCCGCCATGTCCCTGGATAGTGTTTGGGCAATTCTGGATATCGGTAATTCATATATGGTCGATCACGGAACTCCTGTAGGTTCTGTTTACTCACCGATTCATACGACCTCCTCTCACGTGACCACAGAACTGATCTTCGCGCAGACGCAATGGTAGGGCGACATACGGAAGTATCAATGGACCCATAGTTGGTTTCGGAAAGTCTTGGACCAAATACACTTCTCCGGATAGCATCCTTGTCAATTTCAGTCTGAAATTTACAAAAATGCAGTAAAATATTACTTCATATATAAATTTCCTTTTTTATTTCAACAAAAAATCCCACATCATAAAGTTTCAACTTCTTTATTTACCAAATACAGTGACACATGATTTGGCAAATAACAGCATAACCACGGCCCTCTCCACCAATATATGCATGAAATTCACAGGCGTGTACATCACTGGGATGAAACAAAGAAATGAAGAAACCGCGAACAGTCTGAAAAATACTGTTGATTTGACTTACCTCAGATATTCCATTGACGTTATACAATTTTTTAAACAATTGTTACTAATGACACGGAACATTTCGGCTAGTTTACCACAAAATTAGAAAAAAGAGCTACATGTAAAGCAATGGGTTATATTACAATAATGAAACAAACAACAAAAAAACAATTGTTAGGTTATGATCTTGTGAAAAATACGTTTGTGGATCCATGTAAGGTAACTTCAGGCCAACAATGCGCCCCTATATCACACACAATCCACAGGTAAAATGTATGTAACAGCTTAGTAAAGGGCAGAATTGACTCCCGACAGTGAAAGATGAAATGTTTGACAAAGTGTTTTGTAACCTGATCAACGAAACTGGTCACTTGATGTTTATGACGTGAAAAATAGTACATAAAACCTAACCCCATGAACTTCCGTTTACATTCAATAAAACATCGACAACGCCTCAATGTAGCTATTATAAAGAAACTACAAAAATAATCTATATGTGAGCTGTTTTTAAAAAATAACCTGAAGGCTTTAGGCGAATGTACTGTAAAGCTGAGGAGATAATACGAACACAGAAAACGATGAACAGTGACATAAAACCTAAAACCGAAACTCTAAATAAAAGTTCGACAGGAAAAGATACATATTACGAAAACCATTGAAAACTGTAGTAGCATACGATATGGTCATATTCTCAGGGTGTAGGATCAGGTTGATAAAACGAAACAACAAGACATTCCAGAGATCAACACCAATGAAATGCTTTGTTATGTTTGACTAAAATAAGAATGAACCAGCAGGCTTAATTCCGAATTCTAGCATTGCCAATATTTACATGAATGCTACATTTCCATCCCCTCAAAACTCAATTAATCCGCAAAATGGCCCCCCAACATTAACTCCAGTGAATAACACTACTGTCCCAATATTCACCTTAGCCTCCTAATATCACTTTCTCTCCGAATCTTGGTCGCCCTATACTAATCTAATTTATGTTATATTAATAATAGTCAAGCAATATTAATCTTAGTCACGCAATATTAATCTAAGTCTTCCAGTATTAAGTAAATCGATACTAACATCAGTCTCCTGATATCTATCTTAGTCTTATAATATCAATCAGTCTCTACAAACTAACCTTGGTCTGTGTAAACCTTGTGTTACTGTAATTTTTGTTATTTTCGAGGTTCTCTATTTCCCATTTCTTTTAGGACGAACTAAATTCGCGAAAAATAGAAAAATTAATGAAAACTGTAGCCAATTTTCGAATCGCTACTTTCTTGAAAATCATTTCCCATTTGCATCAAACGTTTGGTCACACGGTGAACATGGCAGGTTTAACAAAATCAGCTTATGAATCAATGCATGCTTTTATGGATGAAATAAAATAAATAAAAAATATTTACAATACAAAATGAAAGAGAAAATTTCATGTTTTGGCTTAACCACCATGAAAGACAAAAAATCGATATCGTTGTTTGGCGTTTTCAGTTCTGCCCTCACCACAAGGCCATAAACAAATAACAGTGGGCTAAGTACAGTTCACGTAATTAATGGCCACCTGATAAACCCATTCAGTCTTTGAAAGTCAATAAACCTTCTTTTAACGCAATATGTAAATTAATAAAAGAGACACCACATAGTGTTTATTTAACAAGGAATCGTCCTCGTTGTCGATAATTGAGAGTAAGTGCTGTCGGTAAGTCAAATACCACATGTATATGTTAACATTACCGTAATATTTTGATGTTTAATAAAAGGGATTTAACTCCCTGGAAGTCCTAACTTGACTAAATGTGTTCAAAGTTTATACTGCTGTGATGTTATGTTATTCTGTTTCTGAAGGGATGGAAATAAAGAGGACAAAAACAAAAAGATACATAATTTACTTTCGTGCCCGATATAAGTACCCTCTTGTTTCTCTCTCGCGTCTAGTTCTCTGACAGATCTCCAATGCTTAACGTTAACCGTGAACAATTATTTAAGAATAGTTAAAGTTAAAAACACGTAATCACACTATATCCTGCCTCTGAAAACTCATTATTTCTCCCTTTTCCATTCGTTTTTTCTCATATAAAATTTTAACCATTATGATACTGTTGATAAAGAGTTATTCAGATATCGAAATTAACTAAGCATTTACTACTTACTATAAATAAACATGTATCACATATTATATAATAATATATATTATTTCTAAAAATCGTGGTAATCTCACCTTTAGAAGAGTAAGGACAATATGCCTCCTCCTTGCCTCGGTGAGGGACGCAGACCCCTTCTTCTCCTTCATACTCACCGATTACGTCGCCAACCTCGTTCTGGGCTGAGCCAAATATAACGACTCCGCAACGAGGAGGGGGTAAACAAATATGTAAGCACGTGCACGTCTTTATGTTTGAGGCGACACTATATAGAAGTATTTAGATGCTATTGATTTTTATTTTAGAGGGTCGTTAATCAGATTAATGTATACACGTTTTAGGCGTAAAAAGACATGAATTCATATTAAAGTGACACGTTTCTTAATCAAAATCGATGAAACAAAATTAAAAAGCAAGAATGAAAAGGATTCTGGCTATAGAATGTCACTCTTGATTTGTTTCATATTAACGACACTTTTTCATTTTAATAACGCTGTACTAAAACCATGCTGGCACAATATTGATAAAGAATTAATATAAAAAAAGACTTCTAGCTCTATATTTAATGTACAGGTAGATAACCAACATGTGTAAGCTATTGGGATTCCTAATTCTCCCTGCATAAGACATTGTGACAGGCATGACTCGAGGTTTAGGTGTTGACACAACACTACACAGTCAAATACACACCCTTCACATTAGATTGAATTTCATGTATGATGACTTTGGTAGCAAAAATACATTCTAAACCAGTTAATATCACCTGGGTCTTCAATTGTTTGTATATCGTTATGAGTGCTAATACAAGGTGATGCCTGCCAAGTAGGTTTCGCAAATACTCGGTATTATACAGTCAGGACCTTCTCTCCTAGCAGGTACTCGTTTGTGGAACACGTATAAAAATCTAAGGAAAACTGGGTTTATAGGTACTTGCCATATCTGAGAGCTTGGTTATGTTATAAAATATCTGACTACTAACATCAAAAATATTGTTTGGCCATAAATTCCTGCTTATATCAAATGTTACATAAAAATGCAAACATTATTTTTCAACTATGAAAGAAAGTTTAAACAATTTTACCTGATACCATATAACTAGTACCAAACAGGAACATTGGGGTTGATCACTTAGTGACAAAAGAGCTTTCTACAAATTTTTAAATATGATAAACAACTTCTGAGTAACATTGAACACGAGCCTTTAATATTTCCAACAATGAAAGAATTGAACTTATGTCTGAAAAGATTATACAAAAGACATATAGTGAATAGCACACCTTTTCTTCTATAATAACATTTGCCTTTTCCATTCTAAACAGTAGCCTTCCAAACCGAAGCAACGCCTTCATTCTTTCGTTATGGAAGTTTCTTTTCAAAGAAATGTAAACGGAGGTACAAATATATCATTATCAAATATACAGGTCCGTATTTGGTATGTCTGAAGCCAAGAATAAATTCACTGAGAATGAAACCGTAATAATCCTATATTTCTGGTCGACAATATCACGTGTGTGCCTTTAGTACAATCTTCCTACTGACTATTGGCTTACCTATGGAAACTTATTAGGACCCTCTGTTGGCTGACTTTTTGTTTTTTATTTTGATACGCTGCTAAAAGAGCTTATCAAATCAAGCGACAAACACCTTGCCAACCCTTCACTTTCACTTTAGGATATATTGTCTAATTGGTAACATACGACATTATTAATAATAGCGCGAAGTGAAATACCCAGCAGACTTTTAAAGTGAATCACCGAAAATGTGTTATATGCATCTGTACATCAAAACCGGGACAACCGTGAAATTTGAATACCGCGAAATTAAACAGCTATACAGAATCAATAATGAAGATTGTGAATCATCCCAATGATCACATAGGGAAATTTTATATTTCTTGCATAAAATGAAGTTCAATGATCGTTAGGGTGACTGGCAGTTCCGTTGTTATTATATTTGTTCTTTTTTTGAACTTGACATAACAAGACAAATGTGCCGATGAAGCAGAGGCGCTGGCCCTTCTGCAACACGTGGTTATATCTCCTTGAACTTTGTAAGGGTCATCGTGTTTATTTTGCCGTCGTTTGAATTAAGATTATCTCAAAATGTCGTAAACTTTTTTTATAATACTTAGCAATAGATACAGTAAATGCTGAAATAAACTACATCACGTGACTTTTTGTCATTTAGTACTCTCCCGTGATGCTAGGGGTTTAAAAAGTGGGGAGGTCTGTATGTCCAGAGTAAAGTCCTAACAAATATTAAGACAGATATTGTGAGATGCTTGTTAAATAAATATCGAAACTTGAATTAATTTGAAAAGAATGATAGTTTTTCTGAACCGTGCTCTTGTCCATGGAAAGTTAATGACATGCAACGTCACAGCAAACTTTGGGGGCTAAACCTTGTGAGTGCAGCACACAACACAGACACATCAGAATAACGCCTGACAACACAAATTTATTAATATATATGCAGTGAAGTGATCTTTCCATGCCCTTTTCACTGTAGAAAATGCAACATGCGTATCACTAATTTTCCATCACTGAAATATCTCACTAAAAATCCGATATCATTTAAGGTCAGGGTTTCCTCAGATAAAGCAAGCAGAACTAGTTCTGAACCGTTCATTTAATGCTGACAGGACAATATACTATTGTCTGTTCTGTAAGTCAACTACCGTTTTATAATTAGGTTGAAATTCAATAAATATAGCATTAAAGTAGAATCCCAAACCCACCGTGTTAAGGTCGTCCGCTTCGATGATAATAGGGTTCCAGACAGAAGAGCGCCGCCTATCGGAAGTTCGTCCGTACTCAACACCAAGATTCATCTTGAGGTTTCTTAACAAAGACAAGTCTTAGTGGGTCGTTCAAAGGGTCACCTGGTGATGTTAGGAAAACTCTGTCATCACCTCCTTCTGTTGATGGCTTTTTTAAATGTCGAAAAATATTACTGTCCAAAATAAATAAATAATTAAATAAACAAAAATTCTACATTCATCTAACAATATTTTGATTATTTCACTAAAGCTAAGACTATGTTGTCTCCCTTACATCAGCGATGTCTACTAGTAATCGGGAAGCAACAACTAAAGGTACATTGTATGTGGTAATGAGTATGTATGAACGTCTATTTAACATTGTATCTACTTGTGCTTAGACTAATAAAGACTTAAGGATAGTATCTAATCCTTTTTGGAAAGAGCTTTTCAAGTTACTTCATACATTTTGTGTGAAGGTCCTCTCAATGACTCAGTTATTTGTAATGAGCCCCTATGGTGGGAAAAAGTATTTATGTTACCAGTAAAATTAACCAAAGATGTTACCCTTAGATGGTTTCAGTATATATAAGTTCACAGAATACTACCCACTAACTCATATCTACACAGAATACATTTAGTAGATTCTCTATCTTGTAGCTTTTGTGGTTTGTATAATGAAACTTATGAACATTTGTTTCTTAAGTATTACATTGTTATAAATTTTTAATGAAGGTAAAAGAATGGTTGACACCATATTTTCTTGAAGATTTAAACCTTGAAAATATTATATTTGGAAATGTAAATAGTATTTCTTCTTCAAATTTAATTCTCCTTTTATTGAAAAAAATATATTTATTCTACAAAATTCAAAAATAGATTCCTAAGTATCAAGTGTTTTAAAGAGATACTTTTAGATTATTATAAGTACGAGCGAGTCTTTTATATACACAACAATGGAAAAAAGGTGAAGACAGACTTCTAGACAGATGGGGGTATGTTCCCACACTTCTTCTAGTAAATGTCCCTTCAGACTTTTCTGAGGTGAACTAAAACTTAAAAAACACTAGATCAATTTCTCTTCTGATATCTTTAATGCAGTTGATTGTGTTATGTAGACTGATACATATACATAGTTCGTGACATTCAGTAATTTTGTTTTTGAAAGCAAATTTTTGTAACTAATCATATTTGGTGGCACTCAACATTGATATTGTGTTCCTACCATTTCTTGTATATCCATATCTCATATATGTATTTCATGTTTTGTGATGTCATATAAATGTGTTGAAAATCAATAAAACTTTAAAAAAAACCATTAAACATCAATCAAAATTTAAAAAAAAAAAAAAAAGAAAAAAAAAGACTTAATTAAGGCCTAATGTCTCATTCTTTTGACATCATATCAATAAAAAAAATTGAAATAAGTACAAATAATGTATTATAGCTATCATAGCCATTGAATAATCTTAGTATACACAATAACAACTTAATACTATCGGACATGTTCGACGTTAAAGTCACATCAAATATAAATGTTTCCCTACGTTATTACGACTGTTGTAACATAAAACCTAAAAAGGCACGTATACATTCAGAATCGTTACTCAATATTTTTACTCGATCCTCAAAATGTGTGACGTTATAATTACACTACTATAGTAAGAAGTAACTTTGGGTTCATCTTCGCGGATTGAAACTGTGTACACACTGGAAATGTTTACTACTTATTTGAAGATGACGTGATATTTCTGTGTTTACATGATACACTATGATACCAGTAGTAGCAGTATTAAAGTTACCATATAGTAAATGTAAGAACATGTATAATATATGTTATACTATCCTACAGTGTTAAAGTATTTGTTCAACTACTAAAGTTACTTATGTATAGCCAGGACTAGCTAATTTTATGATAGTTTATCATAATGGCAGGTTAAGTTTACCATATCATTAATATCCTTCAGTGTAAAGTTGAACTACTAAAGTTACTTATGTATAGCCAGGACTAGCTAATTTTATGATAGTTTATCATAATGGCAGGTTAAGTTTACCATATCATTAATATCCTTCAATGTAAAGTTGAACTACTAAAGTTACTTATGTATAGCCAGGACTAGCTAATTTTATGATAGTTTATCATAATGGCAGGTTAAGTTTACCATATCATTAATATCCTTCAGTGTAAAGTTGAACTACTAAAGTTACTTATGTATAGCCAGGACTAGCTAATTTTATGATAGTTTATCATAATGGCAGGTTAAGTTTACCATATCATTAATATCCTTCAGTGTAAAGTTGAACTACTAAAGTTACTTATGTATAGCCAGGACTAGCTAATTTTATGATAGTTTATCATAATGGCAGTTAAGTTTACCATATCATTAATATCCTTCAGTGTAAAGTTGAACTACTAAAGTTACTTATGTATAGCCAGGACTAGCTAATTTTATGATAGTTTATCATAATGGCAGGTTAAGTTTACCATATCATTAATATCCTTCAGTGTAAAGTTGAACTACTAAAGTTACTTATGTATAGCCAGGACTAGCTAATTTTATGATAGTTTATCATAATGGCAGGTTAAGTTTACCATATCATTAATATCCTTCAGTGTAAAAGTTGAACTACTAAAGTTACTTATGTATAGCCGGGATTAGCTAATTTTATGATAGTTTATCATAATGGCAGGTTAAGTTTACCATATCATTAATATCCTTCAGTGTAAAGTTGAACTACTAAAGTTACTTATGTATAGCCAGGACTAGCTAATTTTATGATAGTTTATCATAATGGCAGGTTAAGTTTACCATATCATTAATATCCTTCAGTGTAAAGTTGAACTACTAAAGTTACTTATGTATAGCCAGGACTAGCTAATTTTATGATAGTTTATCATAATGGCAGGTTAAGTTTACCATATCATTAATATCCTTCAGTGTAAAGTTGAACTACTAAAGTTACTTATGTATAGCCGGGATTAGCTAATTTTATGATAGTTTATCATAATGGCAGGTTAAGTTTACCATATCATTAATATCCTTCAGTGTAAAGTTGAACTACTAAGTTACTTATGTATAGCCGGGATTAGCTAATTTTATGATAGTTTATCATAATGGCAGGTTAAGTTTACCATATCATTAATATCCTTCAGTGTAAAAGTTGAACTACTAAAGTTACTTATGTATAGCCGGGATTAGCTAATTTTATGATAGTTTATCATAATGGCAGGTTAAGTTTACCATATCATTAATATCCTTCAGTGTAAAAGTTGAACTACTAAAGTTACTTATGTATAGCCGGGATTAGCTAATTTTATGATAGTTTATCATAATGGCAGGTTAAGTTTACCATATCATTAATATCCTTCAGTGTAAAAGTTGAACTACTAAAGTTACTTATGTATAGCCGGGACTAGCTAATTTTATGATAGTTTATCATAATGGCAGGTTAAGTTTACCATATCATTAATATCCTTTAGTGTAAAAGTTGAACTACTAAAGTTACTTATGTATAGCCGGGATTAGCTAATTTTATGATAGTTTATCATAATGGCAGGTTAAGTTTACCATATCATTAATATCCTTCAGTGTAAAAGTTGAACTACTAAAGTTACTGATGTATAGCCGGGATTAGCTAATTTTATGATAGTTTATCATAATGGCAGGTTAAGTTTACCATGTCATTAATATCCTTCAGCGTAAAAGTTGAACTACTAAAGTTACTTATGTATAGCCGGGATTAGCTAATTTTATGATAGTTTATCATAATGGCAGGTTAAGTTTACCATATCATTAATATCCTTCAGTGTAAAAGTTGAACTACTAAAGTTACTTATGTATAGCCGGGATTAGCTAATTTTATGATAGTTTATCATAATGGCAGGTTAAGTTTACCATATCATTAATATCCTTCAGTGTAAAAGTTGAACTACTAAAGTTACTTATGTATAGCCGGGATTAGCTAATTTTATGATAGTTTATCATAATGGCAGGTTAAGTTTACCATATCATTAATATCCTTCAGTGTAAAAGTTGAACTACTAAAGTTACTTATGTATAGCCGGGATTAGCTAATTTTATGATAGTTTATCATAATGGCAGGTTAAGTTTACCATATCATTAATATCCTTCAGTGTAAAAGTTGAACTACTAAAGTTACTTATGTATAGCCGGGATTAGCTAATTTTATGATAGTTTATCATAATGGCAGGTTAAGTTTACCATATCATTAATATCCTTCAGTGTAAAAGTTGAACTACTAAAGTTACTTATGTATAGCCGGGACTAGCTAATTTTATGATAGTTTATCATAATGGCAGGTTAAGTTTACCATATCATTAATATCCTTCAGTTTAAAGTTGAACTACTAAAGTTACTTATGTATAGCCAGGACTAGCTAATTTTATGATAGTTTATCATAATGGCAGGTTAAGTTTACCATATCATTAATATCCTTCAGTGTAAAGTTGAACTACTAAAGTTACTTATGTATAGCCGGGACTAGCTAATTTTATGATAGTTTATCATAATGGCAGGTTAAGTTTACCATATCATTAATATCCTTCAGTGTAAAGTTGAACTACTAAAGTTACTTATGTATAGCCAGGACTAGCTAATTTTATGATAGTTTATCATAATGATGTGGTAACATTACGATATCTTTAATATCAAACACTATTCTCTGTTGACCTGTCTCTGATCAGCGCCAAAGACATTATTAATGTAATATCACAAGACATTTCACATACGTATTGATCTTGTCGCGTGTCCTATGTTAATTGATGGAAGAGAATATAACTAAGCGTTGACTAAAATCAGAAAAGTACTTAGCTACAAAAATAATGAGGAAAAATAATCAAATACACATGACTTAACATTCTATGTTTGTAAAGTGTGCCGACCTTCTGTAGTAACCATTTTACGCTTTGAACATTTTAAATAGACGGAATTCATTTAAGAATTTACGTTCAAGATGGCCACCTTTGATAACGTCAACTTGACTATAGAATTGTCAACCGTGAAATAGACCAGGTGTGACTGGGTAGATATGGTGCGTGTTTTGTTTCAAAG